TAGGAATTTCTTATTAAAATTGCAATTCCATTTCTACTTTGAAAAAAATAATTATAAAGAAATATAATTTTGGAAATCTAAAGCAAAATTTTTAATAAAAGTTAAATCATTTTTGTTTGAATTTCATTAATTTGTTCAATTTCTTTTATAACAAAACGAAGAATATCTGAATTTTTTGTTTGATTGGCCAAAAAATTGTTATTTTTGTCTATTTCGAGCAATTTAATGGGTTTTTGGGCCAAAGAAAAACCCAGGATATAATGATAAATATTGTATTTTACAGCTTTATACAATAAATATGTTTTATTGATAAAATAATGTTTATTTCGAGTTGTTGGCTAAATACTCGTCTAGCCATTTTTCGATAACAGGGAGGTTATCGTTGCTCCATTTCGTTTCTTCTTTGATATTTTTTAAAGCTTTTTCGATGACAAAGTCCGCAGTTCCGAATTCGGTTTGGCGTTCGACGTAAAGTTCTGAAACCATATCTAAACCTTCCTGTGTTTTAAAAACTGTCGTTGCTGATGTTATCAAACTGTTCCATAAGTGGAGTTTGCCCTCGAATCTGAAATAAAATTTACAAAAATACCAGATAATTTATCGTTTTCGGATTGATAAGAAATTTATGTAAACTCATTTCAGACTATAAATAGCACTGAATACACAATCAAATCCGAAACTCAGAATATAATAGGTAAATAAAAATTTGTTTTTATTTACATGTTTATGTAATTGATAGGTGAAACCACATGTAACAATACCGTAAATAAATTTATCAGTAGCAACATCCTTGAATTTATTACCAATGTTTATTTATCGGCTAGGTCACACACTTTTTTCAAATTATTTCACACTGATTCACAGTCAAAAATTAACTTAAATTTTGCCTAATTATTCTACAAATATTTATGTTTGTTTCATGAGATTATAAAGTAAATTTAGTTGAGATGTTGTTTCTAAAATTAACCCACATTAATTAATTTGACATTAATTATAAAATAATCCTGAAAAAGTCTTTTATCTAGCCCGAAACAGGTTGCTGTTTTTAGCCAAATATCCTACTTGACAAATTTTTTTTTGTTTAGTCAGAGGCTCACTTAATTTACTAAATTTTGTTAAAACAAGCTGAAAAATCACCAAATTATGTCAAAATTATCGTTTTTTTTTAAATAGTTAGATGTTTTTAAGTTAAAAAGTTTTTTATTTTGCAAAATTTTGCCCGAACTGACTTAAAAATGAAATAATTAGGTAAAAAAATATTATTTCTAGTTTTTTTTCAAGCGATACAGCTTGTTTTTAAACCAGAGATTTACTTATTTTCTAAAAAAAAAAACACCAAATTAGGTTTAAAATGCGTTTCTGTCTTAGAGATTATGTCAAAAAATTATTACGGAATTAGGTTGAAAATGATTTTATTTGGAGTATGTTTAAATCTGAGTTTTGTTCATGAGCCAAAAACTTTTATTTTACAAAATTTTATCAAAAGTTACTTAAAAATTAACTAATTAGGTAAAAAATTACGTTATTTTTACATTTTTCAAGCAATTTAACTTGTTTTTGAATCAGAGACAATTTTCTCAAAATTGACTAAAAATCACCGAATTTGGTCTAAAATGAAATTATTTTTAGACGCTTTAGTCTTATTTCAAGAGAATTTGTCGAAATAAGTCAAAGAATTATCACCGATGACGTTATTTTTTGGTCTTTTTCAATTAACTTAACTCGTTTTTGGACTAAAAAGTTTTTTATTTCGCTAGATTTTAATTTAAAAAGCTGAAAAACCCCTAAAATTGACATTATTCTGACCTGTTTTCAACGATTTTGTATGATATTGAGGCAAAAACATGTTTTTTTCGCAAGATTTTTGCACAAAATTGACTTTATTTTGAGTTTTTTCGTTACATTTAGTTCGTTTTTGTTCCCAAATTTTATATCTTCAAAGATTTTATCGAAACAAAAATTTATTTCTTAAAATTTTGTCAAAAAAGCTGACAAATCACCGAATTAGGTCAAAATTTTAGCTTTTTTGAAGTATTTAGCTTGTTTTTAAGTTAAAAACTCTTTTATTTTGTAAAATTTTGTCCAAAGTGACTTAAAAATAAAGTAATTAAGTAAAAAAGTATTATTTTTAATTTTTTCTTTCAAGAAATTGTTTAAATTGACGTTATGTTTGTGCGTTTTTGTCTTAATTCGAGAGATTTTGTCAAAATAAGTCAAAAATTATCACCGATGACGTTATTTTCTGGTCTTTTTCAATCAACTTAGCTTGTTTTTGGTCTAAAAAGTATAAAATTGACATTATTCTCACCCGTTCTCAACGATTTTGTATAATATTGAGCCAGAAACATGCTTATTTCGAAGAATTTTTGAAAAAAAGTGATTTTAGTTTTTTAAAGTTTTTTGAATACATTTAGCTCGTTTTTGTGTTCAAATTTTATATCTTCAAAGATTTTATCGAAACAAAAACGAAAATTACCAAATTATGCTCAAATTGGACTTATTTTAACTTTCTTCATTGTTCCTAAAATTAACCCATATAAATAATTTGAAATTAATTAAAATTTTCGCTTCTTTTACCTGAAGAAGTCTTGTATTTAATCCGAAATAAGCTTTTATATCTTGTTTTTAAAAAATTAATTTAATTTTTAGCATGATTTTGACCCAAAAACTCTCTTTCTTGGCGAGATTTCATCAATTTTCTTTCCTTTACTAAATTTTGTCAAAACAAGCTAAAAAATCACTAAATTAGGTCAAAATTTTAGCTTTTTCGAAAAATGTAGCTTGTTTTTGAGTTCAAAACTTTCTTACTTTGAAAAATTTTATCAAAACTGACTTAAAAACAATCTATTTAAGTCAAAAAAGTGTTATTTTTAGATTTTTTAAGCGATTTCAAGCCAGGGACTCACTAATTTTCAAAAGTTTTGTTAAGATTTGTCAAAAATTACCAAAAAATCACTAAATTAGGTGTAAATTCAAGTTATTTTAGTAAGTTTCTGTCCTATTTCAAAAAAAATTGTCAAAATAAGTCAACGAAAATGACGTTAATTAATAATTTTAAATCAATTTAGTTTCTTTTTAAATTAAAAACTGTTATATTTTGCCAGATTTTATTTTAAAAAATCTGAAAGAACACCTAATTAGGTGAAATTGACATTATTCTGGCCTGTTTTTGTACGATATTGAATTTTTGCAAAAAATTAAACTTATTTTAAGATTTTTGAATACATTTTTTATCATCAAATTATAGTTATTTTCTTCAAGCAATTTTGCTCAAAAACTTTTTTATTTCCAGAAATTTTGTCAAAAAATCTTGGAATTATGTGGAAATTGATGTAATTTTGGCTTGTTTTAAACAATTTAGTTCGTTTTAAAATCAAAAACAAAGAAACAGTAAAAAACTCAAAAAGTATTTTTTTTAATTAAAACATGTTATGACAGATTTTAATGACCATGTTGTACTTGCAACCAACAAGCATAAAAAACTGATAATGTAAGGATGTAGGTGGAATAATTGTTTAGTTACGTAAAAGAATAATTGAGATGTTTTTGATAAGAAAGAATTTAAACAAACAGTAATTATCGGTTTTGAGAATTGCGTTTGATAAAATTAATCAGAAACCTTGAAAAATGTGTCAAAATCTAAAATATTTGAGATGCTTTAACATAAATTGTGTGCGGTTATGAGGTCATAAAAATTTATTACTCAATTGGTTTTTCATTGACAATTGATTTATTTTTTCCAGCATTGAATTAATTCTTCCTGTTATTAAAAAAAAAACTTAAACAGGAAATCCTGGAAATGAAAATTTGTTCCAGTTTTTTTGAAATTAGCTCAAATTAGCCAACAAAAACACTCTCACCTTTCTTTGATCGTATCCCAATTTTTCTTCAAGAAATTGAAAAGTGTGGTATACCCATTAGCACTCCCAGTCAACATACTAAAAATGAGATAAATATCATTATCAGTGAAATTCCCATTTTGCTCCAAAATCGTGATATTGAGCAATCTTTCAATTTTCTCAGCTTCATTGGGACATCCTGCTAAAGTTTTGAGTAAATAAGTTCGTTCGTTTTGCTTCCTGTTGGCGGGGAATTTAATCACACGTTGCAAACCAAACTCCCACTCTTCATTAGTGCCCCATTTGAACACGGGACAAATATACTGATTCGAAACCCTGCAAAAAAATCAAAAATTTTGCAAAAAAAAACACTCAAAAACATACGGATTTCCCTCGTCGGGGTTTTCACTCTCCATCCATTTCCTAAACGCCGTTTGGGCCTCCTCAATGCATGGTTTATACCCAGCTTGGCACAAAAACACCTTGGAGGAACTCCTCAAATGGGCTTTACCCTCACTTTCACCCTCTTGAGGCTCCTCGCCCAATTCTTCATACAAGGGAGTTAGTAGTAATCTCACATAAGTCTAAAAACAAATTGGGACACTTTTAGACTTAACAATTGAGTCAAAATTAATGTTATTTTGGTTTGTTTTAAAAGATTTAGCTCATTTTTGCAAAACAAGAGAAAAAATCACCAAATTGTAGTAATTTTTGGTTTGTTTTAGGTCGTTTTGAGCTAGAAAACTCATTTATTTAGTAAGATTTTGTCAAAACAACCCAACCCTGGAAACTTTTGAATTAAGTTAAAATTGATTTTTAAGCTAGAAATTGAGTTATTTTGTTCAACAAATCGAAAAAATCGGAATTAGGCCAAAAATTTAGCTCTGTTTTTAACAATTTTAACATTTGGTCAAAATTTTGTAAAAAATGTCCAAAAAAATCACCAATTATGACAAAGTTGGCGCTATATATTTTAACTTTTTTTTTTAATTTGTTTTCGAGCCAAAAACTCTTTTATGTTGAAAAATTTGGTCAAAACTAGCCAAAAAATTCATTAATCTTATTTTTTTCAAGCGATTTAGCCCGTTTTTGAACCACGAACTTTGTTACTTTCTAAAATTGTTTAAAAATCAACTCTAATTCGCTAAAGATTTGAGCGATTTAGCTAACTTTTAAGCTAGAATTTTACCGTTTTTTGTCAGAAAATTTCGAAAAAATTTCGAATTATGCCAAAAATAACGTTATTTGTGGCTGTTTCTAATAATTAAGAAAATTACTTATTTTGCAAAATTTCTAAAACATTTCAAAAAATTAACAAATAAAGTTGATTTTAGCTATTTAAATAATTTTTATTTTGCAAGATTTTGTCAAAACTGACTTAAAAATAATCTATTTACGTCAAAAAATTCGCTATTTATTTCTCAGTGTTTTCAGGTCGTTATTTTATTGGGTTTTTGTTTTATTTCAATAAATTTCGTCAAAATAAGCCAAGAATTATGTTGAAAATGACGTTATTTTCTGGTCTTTTTCAATCAACTTAGCTCATTTTTGGACTAAAAAGATTTTTATTTCGCGAAATTTTATTTTAAAAAGCCGAAAAAACACCAAAAATTGAACGATTTTGTACGATAAGATTTTTGCGAAAAATTGACTTTATTTTGAGTTTTTTGAATACATTTAGCTCGTTTTTGTGTCCAAATTTTACATCTTCAAAGATCTCTTGAAATTTTATTGTCAAAAAATCCTGGAAAAAGTGGCCAAAAAAATCATCGAATTACCTCAAGAATAGTGTTATTTTAGCTTCTTTTGATGGATTTAGTTCGTTTTTGTACTACAACAAGGCAAAGAAATTATTGATTTAGATCAAAATTATGTTGTTTTTGTTTTTTTAAGTTTCTCAGCTTTTGAGTTTTGTCAAAAATAGATAAAAAAAGTCAAAGAATTTAGTCAACATTAAGGTTGATGTAGACTGTTTTAGACTTAATTTTTTGGCTAAAAATTTACCTCTTATTTATATAAAAAAAATTATGCCGAAAATTACGTTATTTATGCCGTTTCAAGTGATTTAGATAGTTTTTATTTAAAAATTAACGTATTTTGCAATTTTTCATAAAAATAAGTCGATCAGATTAAAAATGAGGCTGATGTTTTGAACAATTTAAGTCATTTTTGTGTTAGAATGTTTTATTTCACAAAACTTTGTAAAAAATTACCAAGAAATCACTAAATTGTGTCAAACTTGGCGTTACTTTGACTTTTCTTTTATTGATTTTGCTTGTTTTTGAGACAGGAACAATTTTATTTTTAAAAATTTAGTCAAAACAAGCCAAAAACCAGTATATTTTGTCAAAACTGATCAAAAATCAACTAATAATTTCAAAATTGAGGTTATTTTAACCTGCTTTGAGCAATTTCGCTAATTGGTAAGGTAGAAATTGACTATTTTTGATAATCAAATTTTAAACAATTTGAATTAGGCCAAAAATTTTTGTCAGGATTCTTTATTTTCTAAGATTTTGTAAAAATGGCCAAAAAAATCACCAAATTATGTCAAAGTTGGCGCTATATATTTGAATTTTTTTTTCAATGAATTTACGCAAAATTTGTTTTTGAATCAGAAACTATTTTATGTTGAAAAAATTAGTCCAGACAAGCCAAAAATTAGAAAATTTTTATAAAAAGTACATTTTTCAAATGATTCAGTTCGTCTTTGGGCGATTTAGCTAACTTTTTAGATAGAAATTTACCCCTTTTTGTCATAAAATAAAAAAAGTTCAAATTAGGCCAATAATGTCGTAATTTGTAGCTATTTTGGGTAATTTACACAGTTTTTGATTAAGACTTATTTTGCAATATTCTACTTAAACATGTCAAAAAATGAACAAATAAAGCTACTTTTAGCTATTTAAAACATTTTTATTTTGCAAGATTTTGTGAAAAGTGGTAAAAAAATCACTGAATTATTTCAAAAATTTGACTTTTCTTGTTAAATTTAGCTTGCTTTTGGGCCAGAAACTTCTTTATTTTGAGAAATTTAGTCAAAATAAATCAAAATCTTTGGATTTTCACACAAGGTACGTTATTTTAGCTCCAAAAGCTGGCGTTATTTTAACTTTTCTTTTATGGATTTTGCTTTTTTTGAGACAAGAACAATTTTATTTCTAAAATTTAGTCAAAACGAGCTAAAAACCAGTATATTTTGTCAAAACTAATCATACTTTGAGCAATTTAGCTAATTTTTAAACTCGAAATTGACTATTTTTAGTAATCAAATTTAAAAAAAAATGAATTAGGCCAAAAATTTAGCTCTGTTTTTAACGATTTAAGACATTTTTGTCAGGATTTTTTATTTTCCAAGATTTTGTAAAAATGGCCATAAAAAATTACATTATTTTTACATTTTCAAGTGATTTGAGCGATTTAACTTTTTAGCTAGGAATTTACTTTTTTCTTGTAAGAAATTAAAAAAATGTTTGAATTGGGCCAATAATGTTGTAATTTGTGGCTGTTTCGAGTAATTACCCTAAATTTTTGATTAAAAAATTTTACTAAATCATAACAAAAATGGTCAAAAAATCAGGTAATTACCTAAAGAATAGTGTTATTTTAACAATTTTTGGTAAGTTTAGCTTGCTTTTACTCTAGAAACTTTTTTATTAAGAAATTTACTCAAAGTAAAATTAAGTTATTTTAGAAAAAACTGATACATAATGTAAAATTTTAAGTAAAACGCAAAAAACTGAAAAAAATTGACAATTTTCAATTGAATTATTGAAGTTATCGCAAAAAATCGTTTTTTGACACATCTTTAATAATTAATTGTCAATTAATTGTTTTTAGGAGAGAATTTATGTCCAAAAAGTGTGATTCTGCAACAATTAATAAATGTTTTTGATTTTGATTATTTTTGAGTCAAAACTAAAAAAAAATTACTTACTTGGAATTTTTTATGAACGGCTGAACTGTCAATATGCCGTCCAATGTGATCAATTAGCGTAAAAACAGGGTCCCAAGCTAGATATTCCCTCTCATTTTTGAGAAAAAGCGTCATATTTAGGGCCGTAGCAAAGCTCAAATCCCCAGCATAAGCCAAATTCCAGGCATCATGTAATAATTTAGCTCGGGTATTCACCGGAATTTTGACCCGATTTTCCCCACACAAAAACTGTGCCAACATATTCCAATTCCTGACATCGTAGTTGACCGGAAACGGCCCAATTTCCTCCGGATTGACAATAATGAACTGCTTTTCCTCCGGTAAATTTTCCAGTATGATTTCCCTCTCTTTCCTCATCCAAACCACCGGTTTGGTGTTGGAAAAATCAAGCTTGTCTTCTCGGACGAGAATCAGGGGGATCCACCAAAGGAACTTCTCCTTGTCGGGGACGTCATGGGGGCGCTCTCGCAGGTAGACCCTTTGGGTGATCTTGGCCGAGTTTTGGCCATAGTTTCGCGTCACGTTGATGACAGGAAGGCGGTCTTTGGTGATCCAGGAGGCGGCGATTGCGTTCACTGTGGTTCCGTTTAATTTGTTGTCGAATTTCGCTTGTTCGGTCAATGCGTTCCAAATGTCGTCACCGAAAAACGTTTTGTATTGGCGATCGGCCATGAATTTTTGGAGGCCGTGTTTGAAGGTGCGTTCGCCGAGGGTGTAGTTCAACATGCGGAAAACTAGTTCGGTTTTGGCTGAGGTTGAGTCTTGTTTGATTGCGGTGCTTTTGCCGTGGGGATAGCGTTTACTGAATTCGTAGTAAATTGAGTATAGCATTGTCATGGGCCAGTTGTTGAAGGATTCGGTCGTTTCCATCTGGAAATTTGAGGAATTTTTATTGAAAACTTGAGTCAGGAGTATTTTTTTTTCATTATTTTTGAAAAAAAAAGAAATTTATTAAAAAAAATATGAGTGAAACAAAAAAAAACAATTCAGGACCAAAACAAACAAAAAAGTCTTAATAAATATGAAAATTTTTCGTTTTTAATCATTTATTTGCAATCTTTTCAAACAAAAAAGAGAAGCTTTTAGTAGAATTTTTTTAAACACCCCGTATTGTTCATATTTTGTTTTTTTAGAAATTGACTTATTTGATAAACAAATCAAAAAACATCTGAATTAGGCCAAAAATTTAACTCAGCTTTTAAAGATTTAAGACATTTTTGTTAGGCTTTTTTATTCTCCAAGATTTTGTAAAAATGACCAAAAAATCGCCAAATTATGTCAAAGTTGGCGTTATATGTTTTGACTTTTTTTTTCTATGATTTTACGCAAAATTTGTTTTTGAATCAGAAACTTTTTTATGTTGAAAAATTTAGTCAACACAAGCCAAAAATTACAAAATTATATAAAAATTACAATATTTTTGCATTTTCAAGTGATTTACTTCGTTTTTGGCTAACTTTTTAGTTAGAAATTTTATCCCTCTGAAATTTTTTTTTTAATGTTTAAATTAGATCAATAATGTCGTCATTTGTGGCTGATTCGGTTGTTTCCATATAAAAATTTAGGATATTTTTATTGAAAACTTAAGTTTGGGGTATTTTTGTCATTATTTTTGCAAAAAACAGTGAAATTTATTAAAAAAATAAGAGTGAAACTAAAAGGATAACCCTTAAAATGAGTAGTTAAAAAAAGACTGTCAAACAATTCAGTAGGTAATAATATGGACCAAAACAAATAAAAAAATCTTAATAATGATGAGATTTTTTTGTTTTTAAACATTTATTTGAACAAAAAAAAAGAAGTTTCTAGTAGATTTTTTTTTTATATTCAGTATTGTTCATTTTTTGTTTTTCTTCTGTTTTATATTTATATTTATCAAAATATTGTTTTTATGTGTTCCATATCCTTTTTACTTTTTTCTATGTTATTTCAYCATTAGCTACTCAAGCTTTTCCAGGAAAAACAAAAATCTGCAAATTTGATCTAAATTTGGCCTTTTTTGAGCTCATCTTTTAAATTAAACTTTTAAATTGAGTCCAAATTAACGTTATTTTGGTTCGTTTCAAACAATTTAGATCATTTCTTCGTCAAAATTTTGACAAAACAATCCAAAAAATCACCAAATTATAGTAATTTTTTCGTTTGTTTCAGGCGATTTATGTTGGTGTTTTTGACTTTTTTTATAGATTTAGCTCATTTTTTTAGCACTTTTTTCAGCTAAAAATTTACCTACTTCTTTTTTCCAATTTTTATCAAAAATACCATAAAAAAACAAATTAGGCCAAAAAGTATGCCGTTTGAGTAATTTAAACAGTTTTTATTTAAAAAAATGAACGAATTTTGCAAAATTTTATAAAAATAAGTCGTGCAACTTAAAAATGAGCTCGATGTTTTTTCATTTTTGTGTAAGATTTTTTTATTTACTTAATTGCGTCAAAGCTGGCGTTATTTTGACTTTTTTTTAAGGATTTTGCTTGTTTTTGAAGCAAGAACAATTTTATTTTCAAAAATTTAGTCAAAATAAGCTAAAAACTAGTAAATTTGAGGTTATTTTAACCTGATTTGAGTAATTTGGCAAATTTTTAAGCTAGAAATTGATTGATTTTAATCAACAAATCAAAGGAAATAAATTACATCAAAAATTTAACGATTTAAGGTATTTTTGTCAGGATTTTTTATTATTTAAAAATCTTGTAAAAATGACCAAAAAAAACACTAAATTATGTCAAAGTTGGTGCAATATGTTTTGATTTTTTTCAATAAATTTACGCAAAATTTGTTTTTGAACCAGAAACTCTTTTATGTTGAAAAATTTAGTCAAGACAAGCCAACATGCGGAAAACTAGTTCGGTTTTGGCTGAGGTTGAGTCTTGTTTGATTGCGGTGCTTTTGCCGTGGGGATAGCGTTTACTGAACTCGTAGTAAATGGAGTATAGCATTGTCATGGGCCAGTTGTTGAAGGATTCGGGAGTTTCCATCTGGAAATTTGGGAAATTTTTATTGAAAACTTGAGTCAGGAGTATTTTTTTCATTATTTTTGGAACAAAAATGAAATTTATTAAAAAAATAAGAGAGAAACAACAAGGATAAAGCTTAAATAAACATATCAGTAGTTATACAGGGTTTTAAAAAAAGACTGTCATTGTTTTTTATATTTGCAATTTGATCAAACAAAAAGAGAAGCTTCTAGTGCAGATTCTAAAAATTTTCACATTTGATATCTCCAAAACCGTTACTTTGCTGACCCATGATATTAAGACATTTGTTTGTTTTGGTTCATACTATTTCCTCCTTAAATATTTTACAATCTTTTTTTAACACCCTGTATTTATATTCTGTATTGTTTATCTTTTGTTTTTCTTCTGTTTTATCTTATATTTATCAAAATATTGTTTTTTATGTGTTTCATAGTGTTTTTACTTTTTCTATGTTATGTCATGATTAGCTATTTAAGCTTTTCAGGAAAAACAAAAAAAATCTGCAAATTCGATTTAAATTTGGTCTTTTTTAAACCCATTCTAAAATTAAACTTAGTCCAAATTAACTTTATTTTGCTTCGTTTCAAAAGATTTAGCTTATTTTTGCGTCAAAATTTTGACAAAACAAGCCAAAAAATTACCAAGTTGTAGTAATTTTTAATTTTTCTTCAGTAAGATTGTTTCATAACAACCCAACCCTGGAAACTTTTGAATTAAGTTTAAACTTATATTTATTTAGGTCGCTTCTAGCAATCTAAGCAATTTTTGTGTTAGAAATGGATATAATTATTTTGCAAGTATTTGTCAAAATTGAGTGAAAATTTACCAAATTACGTCAAAATTTGTGTTTTTGACTTTACTACGTTTTTGTACCACAATTCTGGGAAATTTAGTTAAAATAAATCAAAAAATCATTTTTTAGATTGAAAAGTATGT